TATTTTTAATAGATTTAAACTTATTTTAGGGCTTTAATAAATGAAAATGAAACAGGAAAAAATTGGATTTTTTTATTAAAATTGAAATAGAATTGATTATATAAGATGTGAATTGCAAATCCAGCTTGGTCTAGTGCCTGGACAGCAGTTTATGGGTCCGACCATTCCCAACGGGGCGGGTTTGATCACTATACTAGCAAATGGTTGGGGGAAGAAATGGGTCCCAGTCTAGACAAGGGGGTCCACATAAGAAGAGCAAAACATAGAAACGACCCCCAAACACGGCCTGCGGTAATGGTGGTAAAGTCCCTTGCAGCTTTTTAGAGGAAAAAAAAAAAAAGAAAAGAGAAGAAAGGAGCAAATGGAAGAGACAAAGCACATTAACCACCGAAGATCAAACATCAACCAACTATTCACCCACCAATTCTCAACCCTGTCTCTCATTTTGGTATGTACTTTGATATCCAATTGGCTTCTCTTTGTCTTTCTGTCAATCACATGATATCCCTATCTCATATATATTAAGGTAAGATCTAAAACTTGCTTACACTCTATGTGTGCTGCTGTATATGTATTATTTCATGCTTGTATACACAAAGTTGAATATTCAAATATTATCCAATTGAGTTACTATTAATCATACTCCGATTGAAAAACAGATTGAATTAAAATCAATTTAGGATATTGATTTTGTTAAGTTTTCAGAATTTGAGGTATATTAAGTCGTGAAAAATTGACCCTTACTTAGAGTAAATCTGGAGTATATATATGAGATTATAGATTATCGTATTAAGATAAGGATTATAAATCATATATTATCTGTTAGTTAAACGTTATTTAAAAGTCTAATTTTATTATTTTAATATATTTTATTATTATATGTTAACAGTAGTTTTCTAAAAAAGTATTGGTCATTTATGTCCAATAAATATTTAAATTTGAATTGATAGACCACTAAAATATGAGTTGTTTAAGCTTGGATTGGTGGACTGCTTAAGTCCAAACTAATGGATGATTATGTCCAAATTGGAAGACTGCATAAGTCTGAAATAATGGATGATTTATGTGCAAATTGGAGGACTGCTTAAATTCAAAATGATGGACAATTTATGTCCAAACTGATGGACGATTTATGTCCAAATTGGAGGACTGCTTAAGTTCGAATTGATGGACGATTTATGTTCAAATTGGAGAACTGGTTAAACCCGAAATGATGGATGATTTATGTCTGAACTGATGGACGATTTATGTCCGGACTGGAGGACTGGTTATGTCCGAATTGATGGATTGTTTATGGACTGCTAAAATCCGAACCGGAGAATTTGTTATATTTGAATTACTGGACTGTTTATGGACCGCTTAAGTCCGAATCAGAGAATTGTTTATGTCCGAATTGATAGACTGTTTATTGATCGCTTAATTCCGAACTGGAGAATTAGTTATGTCCGAATTGATGGACTGCTTAAGTCTGAACCAAAAAATTTGTAATGTCCGAATTGATGGACTGTTTATGTATGGCTTAAGCCCGAAACTTTATAATTGAAGGACTGCATAAGTCCGAATTTATTGAGGACCGCTTAAATTCAAACTTATTGATCTCTATTTAGTTATGCTACCTATGCTTTTATCATGATATAGAGAATAAAAGTTCAAGGCAATGAACTAATTAATAAAATTGCTTTGTCTTAACTGAAAAGGAGAAAATAAATAAATATAGTTAACTTATATGCATTTGAGGAAAATTTAGTAGCAAACAAGGATCACAAGAAGTAAGATAGCTAAGACCAAGAAAGAGATTTTATAAATATTATAAATTCTATTTTAGCTATCATTCTTAAATATAGAAATTTTAAAAGTAAATAAGAATATGTGGTAATCAAATTTATTTATCCTTTTTCTTTTTTTTTGTGATACCTGATATATACTCGGCTTTTATTAACTAATACAGTTACATGCACGGCCCCAAATAAATATATAATAAAATAATCAAAATCAAGTATGATAAAATAATTTAATTTGGCATAATAATGGCTAAATTTTTTTTTAGCCAATTAAATGGATTTTTTTTGGGATTAAATTTCAACATTAATTTTTTATTTTTATGATCACATCCTAAAATAATTTTAATACTATGAACACTATCACGTAATCAACTCATAAATTGGTTGAATAGTTACCAATTTCAAAAAGTGTCGGCTTGTAAAATAGACACCAATAATCTCCATGTTCTCTGATCCTTTATTAGGACCCAAGGAAATTTTATAAAATGCTCATGTCTATCACCAATTCACCAATCACCTTCCTCACTGAGCCAGAATTATCTAACCATCCGTATCAGATGGCTCATAAGGCACAAACGCAGAACCAAGTCAAAGATTACCATGGATAACTTTGAACCGGTCTTCAAAGAGACAATAATAAGAATTCCCTATACCAACCATCTCAATAGCACATGAAGCACAAAGGCTTTTGCAGAGTTTATGAAATATTTATTTCTGTGATTGATATTGAAAATGCTTAGGCAATTAATTGCTAGTATAACGTCCAGAACATCCAGAAGAAACATATTTACATCATTGGTTCTTCATTGTTTTCGAACTTTAAGAAGGCATAAGCTATCAGAACTGAAATGAGAAATAAAAACGAATTTAAAATATGAAAATCAAAACCTTGAATCTTTTTGCATAAGACCAACAGCCAAATAGAGCACAACTGAATATCTAAACACGATATATTTTCTTTCAGAACCAAGACATAAAACCTTAACCCGATAAGTTCCATTCAGAAATATTCCACATAAATCAGAAATCGAATCAATGGAAGTCATAAACAACAAAATAACTAAGAGAAAAATGTAACCCCTGTATAAATAGCAAGCCATATATATATGCCAAAACTGAATATTCAAAGACACGCAAGAACATTTGAATTTCAATACAAACAGGCGGTCAAGCGCACATATCCCTCAATAAAGCAGAAAAACCTTAATTAATTAAGTTGATCACATACGCTTCCCCATCAATATAAAAAAAAAATAAAAAAAAAAAAAATCGAATTGAAAATCCTAGCTTTTGTAATTTTTTGGATTGGTATTATTCTAAATTATTTTTCATAATAAAAATAAATAATTTCTTCATTATTTAATTGCACGCTTCAAATATTATATTGCTAAATCCACTGAATATATAATTTATTTTATTTTTATTCTCCAGATGTGAATATAATTTATTATTCAAAATAGATTAAGATCTTATTTTTATTTTATTACTTATTAAACAATAAGATATTATACTCAAAAAAAGATAGAAAATACTTTTTTTTAATTAAAATTCCATCTTAAATTAAAAAAATATTAAGATTAAAGTATTATTAACATTATTGCGTAATAACTAAAAATAAAATCCAAATAATTACAAATTTTATTACATAACTAAAATTAACATTGGAAAAATAGAAAATTTTATAAAAACAACAAAAACAAAAAAAAATAAATAATACTAAAAAGAAAGAGCTCCACATAAAATGGAAGAACATCTTAACGTACTTTCTATACTTCCTATGTAAATCGGACCATCTTCTTGCTGAAAATTTACCAATTAACAAAATCGATGGTTATAAATATATATTAAATAAGCCTTCAGGCCTTCAATACATATAATGATATTTAAATTACTATGGATGCAAGACAATTCATAAAAATAAATCCGTTACAAAATCAATTAGATATTCATACAATGAAATGAAACGACGTATAAATTTCAATGTGTAAGAACTCGTAAACATAACTCTCGTACCTACAGCGTAGGGTCTTTAATCTGATCAGGAACCATACATGTGAAAGAAAATTTTAAATTACCTTGCACTGAATCATAAAATAAAAATCTCTTACAAAAAAAAGGTTATAAATATATATTAAATAAAGCTTCAGGCCTTCCAATAACATATAATGATATTTAAAAATTACTATGGATGCAAGGAAACCCCCAAAAATTTTTCATAAAAAAAATTTTTTTTTTTTAATCGTTACAAAAATCAATTAGATATTCATACAATGAAATTAAACGACGTATAAAATTTCAATGTGTTAAGGAACTCGTAAACATTAACTCTCGTACACTACAGCCGTAGGGGTCTTTTAATCTGATCAGGAACATACTATGTGAAAGAAAATTTTAAATTACCTTGCCACTAATCATAAAATAAAAACTCTTACAAAAAAAAAAAAAAATATATATATTATATATATATATATACATATCTTAATTCAATCCATTGTAAATTTTTATATATACATATCTTATTCAATCCATTGTAAATTTTATAGTTTCTCTGCATAGTCAACACCAGGTTTTGAAAAGCATTACTATTTGGTACATTGAAAATATTTAAAAAGGATGAAGGTTGTTAAGATGGACCCTCACATCCTACGGCTGCACTACAAATCGGAAACTAAACTAATAGACTATTAGAACTAAACTAATAGACTATTAGAACTGCGCAGTATGTATAATTCTAAAAGTTAAACGTTATAGAGATTAGGCTACCTTCACAAGTTAGTTCAAACGCTAATTTTACCAAACACTATAAAAAATAGCAATTAACATTTTAAAACGTTAAAAAACTAATTAAAAAGTTGTTGCCGAACACGGCCTAACCCTGTAAAATAGTTAAGCGTTACTAAAATAGTTAACGACTACCAAAATAGCTAATTTGCTAAACAGGCCTTACATCTAAGTTCAATAAGTTTGAAAATACACCCACTGATTTCAATTAAATGTCCTTGAAGAATTACCACCTATCAACTGATCAACGATACAAGAAATATCTGTAAAGAGACTCAAAACTGTTTTCAATAATTAACCAAATAAGGTTTAGGTCTCAATTGCATAACCAATGTGCCATTTTAGCCTGAATAGAAGAGAGATAATCCACAGATATCCAATAGTCAAATAAATAAATACTCCCTCCATCCCATTTAGTTAACAAAAGTTATTTTGCCCTTTTTTACCCTTTAACTCATTAAAATGTTAATAAAAATCTTTCATTTAATAAAGAATCTTAAAGGTTATTATAGGAAAAAGCAATTGTTCACATGTATAAATTTAGAAACCTTGCAAACATTTTAAAACATCCAAAAAAGAAAAAACAAGCAAACAAAATGGGCCGGAGAGAGTAATATTCACCCGTCCATTAATATTTCTCAGCTTTGTATCTGATTTGTGGTTGGCGAATGTCATCTTGGCTTTGGATTAATCTGATCTCCAAACTGCTTGACTTGGGATCATATCCTACACGTTCATAGTCATTCACTGTCCTTTGTAGAAGTGCCTGCAAATATTTGTAGACATTCAGCAAGTAATCAAACTGCAAAATATCACAGATTCACATCATCTAAATGGTGAGTTGGGCTGCATCAGTTTTATGGGAAAATATTTTCTGCATTTCTCAGTATTTGATGTTCACAGGAACTGGTCAATATTTTTCTAGTCAAATGGAAAATTAATTCATTTTATGAGGAATTCAAAGCACATGGAAAGGGAAGATTCCTATTAAAAGAAGCACATTGCCATACATCCATTAGTCCAATAAACTGCCACTAAGCGCCTCTCTCAGAACAACAAAGTCTGACCCATTCTGTTTGCCTTTGGCAATCAACCAATCACTTATCACTAGCAACTAACATATTTTGACTTTTGTCATGTATCTTCTACATAACTATAAATTGTAAAAGGTTAAAAAAAAAAGGAAAAAAGAACACATATATATAAGATCAAAACAATTTCATGGTCTCTTTCACTGGAAGAAAATTATTTCTCCAACAGACTCCAAATCTCATAAATATAATTTCATTAAACTCGTATGTATAATATGCATATTAGTCTATGACATGGTACTTTAAATATTTCCATTATTTTTGCAGTAGAGTTCCATTGATGTTAACTGAAAAGAGCCTTGAACAGCCTCCAGGAAGTTCTTTTTTTTTTTTTCTTTTTTTATCATCCCCTTCTTAAAATTTCACATTAACCTATAATTTGTCTTAATCAAAATTAAGGTTGAAAAATTCAAATTACAATCACCAAATTCACTATTACTTAGAAACTAGAAAAGTTCAAAAAATAAAACTAGAATTAACTTACAGTAAAACATTATCCCGGTTCATTGCTAGCCATGGGAGTCGTAGAGGAGAAACAGGACATAGATAAAAATACTATAATGGGTCTCCAATCTTGTGATTGAAGTCAAAAAGGGAAGAGAGAATCTTTTTTAGGGCTTTCTCTAAATTAGAGTTCACTTCTATAGTGGATGTCAGTTTCATTTCACATGTGTATATAACAGACAGGGAATAAAATTTATGTTTTTGAAATGGTAGGGTCTCAAGTAACTGAATCTCACAGAGGAATAAAGTAAAGAATACGGTCTCAAGTGTGAATTAAGCTTAAACCCTATAATGTTTCTAGTAATTTTCCTATTCTAAAATCAGCGCCAGCCCTATTGGTTTCCGCATAAGATCAATATTAATTTATTAAATTGATTTTGCAATATCCAGTAGACACCAGAAGGCTTTTAGTCATTCTATATCTTATATTCTTGTAAAAACATGGGAGAAATCTCAGGAAAACCAGTACCTGCAAACTTGAGACTGCAAGCTCTGCTGCCCTGCCAAGGTTGTCAGGATATTTCTGAATGGCACAAAAAGAAAATATAAGTCAGAAAACATTAGGAACAAGAATGTCTCCAACTAAGATCTTAGTTTAAGATAAAACGATACAATACATTACTCCATCCAAGCAGAAGTGCAGTCATCAGATCTCCAGTTCCCTACAAGCATGTCATGAACATCCATCAATGAGCACTTTACATGAGGAAAATGGTATCAAAATAAGAATTAAATTCAACAAATTTAAGAACTATTAGAATATCATAGTCGATTTTACTAATCTTAATTATGATGCAAAAATCATATAACTGTTTTTACTAATCATAATTGATGATTCATTAGAACATCAACATAGGTAATGTCTTTTCCTTTTTTGTTTTCAAAAAGGAAGCATATTATTAATAGTTATTCCTGTTACAAGGAAATAGGCAAATAGCCAGAACAGCTAAATTCAACGGAAAATCAAAAGTCAAGACAAATGGCTTATGGTGCAACACAATATGCAAAGAGTATTTCACAAAAGAAACAGTATGTTAAATGTCTCTTCACAAAAACTGTTTTCCTTTTTCTGTTCCTTTTCACAACTTTTTTTCTATTTTAAGCATATATTTATATTTTAAGTTAAGTTTGCATAGAGTAATGTCATTGTCATAAATATTATGAAAATCGATATATCTCTTAGAGCCTTAAAGTATGTTGATAAACCTTGCATAGGAAGAGACATATTATCTTTATGAACAACAATGTTGTTGAAAGAATATTTCGTATTTCTTTAGCCTTAAAGTATGTTGATAAACCTTGCATAGGAAGAGACATATTATCTTTATGAACAACAATGTTGTTGAAAGAATATTTCGTATTTCTTTTATTGTGTGCTATATTTTCAATCTTTACACCACTATGTATATACACAAGATTGTTCCAATATATGAAGAAATCTAAATAGGAATAAACCTAAATTAGGAAAGACAATAAACCTAAACTAGGAAAGACAATATTGACAAGAAATCTAAATAGGAATAAACCTAAATTAGGAAAGACAATAAACCTAAACTAGGAAAGACAATATTGACTTTAATTACAAAGATTTCAACAAATGTTTATGTATTCAAATGTATTCAATCAACCACGAATTATTGTAAAACTTAATGCCTATTTATTGTATTTCTGCATTCTCTTACTATGGCAATCATTAGCATGATTTTCTTTCTCTATTTCTAATATTTTAAGACGTCTCTGAGAGTATTAATGCATCATAAAAAATTTAATGCATATTATATGCCAATTAAAAAAAAAGTAACAAAAATAAGCATTAAATATTTAACAAAATGTATGAAAATGATAATTTTCCCAAACATACAACTAAAACTTAAAACGTAAGCATTTAAATTTCATATAATTAATTATTTATGACATAAAAGTTATTAATAGCTATGTGCACAGCACTGTGATTTGCTAGTGAGGGAAGAAAAGAGAAACATAACCAATTATGACGACAAGTTATATTTTTGTTTTCTGACCACATCAAACAGCACAATGAATTCCGTTTATTAACAGTTAAAGGGAGAATCTGCATACCGTAAAATATGCCGGAATTTTGGGTATCACAATCTTGAATTGCTCAGGAGATTGGCCCTATCATAAAATGGATATAAACAATATGATCGTATACAGAAAACTTATCAGATTTTTGAACTGCTACACTATTCAGAAGAATGAACAGTAATAGTAAATCTCCAAAATATACATGCATGGTATAAAATAAATATTGGCATGTTTTTAGTAAATAAGAATGCTACAATTAATTAATTAGAGATGCTATAATTAATGGTGGTGTAAATAAGGAAATGAAATAATACAAATAGTCTAGAAATTATTCTTTTATAAAAACCATTAAATCTCATTGAGATCAACAGTGGAAAAAATGTGTAAAGAACTGTGGTTAGATCCTATTCCACAAAATAAATAATAGATTAAAAAGTAGAAAAGGCCAAAAAAGGCCATTAGCTGATCAACATATCAGCAACAGTTGAGCAGTCAATTTTTGGCGTGAATATAGTCAATGGCCATTAAACAAACATGATATGCTATTCAATTAACAACAAAAGTTCTGCATACTCCTAAGCAGGCATCTCCTTTCAATTCTCTTATTAGAATGTTGAACAAATTTCAGGAACAAATTAAACTTTATCTTGCATAAAATGACTTGGCCAAAACAGCATGAGTTGGCATCTGATATAGTGATGGTGCCATCAGCTTAGGCTCTGAAGCAACAAAACTGACAACATAGAGGAAATACCATTAGCCCACCTTTTCCTTTTGATGACTGCCAATGAGAAGAAGATTGTCATCCATACTGATGCTTGTGATTACAACCTGAGACTCATACGAAATAGTAAATTTTACCATGAGATCAGAAATGAGTTCATAAGCTACTCATATAGAAGTAATATGAGTAGCTACGAAGTATGCCTATTTTGTTAAGCGAAAAAAGAAAAAAAAAAATTCTTGTTGCCCACAATGGAAAGAACAGAAAAGCATACTGAGATGCCATATTGTCATAAAACAAATGATCTGTTATGAGGAAAATATTCGGTAATTAAGCATCGAGCATATCATGTCAAAAATAGGTAAAATATCAAAAAAGAAAAGTTATGAATGCAATATTCGTGAACTAATCAGTAATATCACAATAGAAATCACAGGTAAGATAGAAACAACAAAGTAAGTGCTATGTTTGAAAAGAAGGCTGAAGATAAAAATATATCACTAATACCTTTGAAGGCCCAGCAGCATGAAGAATATTACAAGCTTCGCGGCCATCTCTTTCAGTCACAATCCTACAACAAGAATCTTGTTAAAAGGTAAAGAGCGAATGCAATAAAAGAACAAAGGTAAAGAGTGAACTACAGCGAACTCAATTTTTTGTACTCACTGTGAGACCTGGATTTGAAATTGTCATGGATAAAAGTTTCATGGCAATATAAAACAAAGCTCGGGTAGAATGAAGAAAATGCAATTTTTATCATCCAAACACCCAGTTTTTATAACACAGGTAGATGGAGATAAGAGATCAGTTTTTATAACACATCTTGATTAAGCCTTGCATATAGTATCAGTAACTGAGAGATTGATCTTTAGAATCTTTAATATGTAGTAATTTCCTCTGGATTTATCAAATTTAATGTCTCAAATTATGTGCACTACAAACAGCAGCATCATTTTTCATTCTTTTATTCAAGATTGCAGGAAAAATGGTTGTCGCATTACGTTCTGACTTCCGAGGTGATTTGAATGGGAAATAATTGATGCAAGCCCCTCAAGTTACTGAAGTTAACTACATTAATAACTTCTGATTCAGTTTTAATAAATTGTCAAAATTTCATTGGTTCAGCAGCCTAGCAGTCTAATAACAGTTTTATAGTCTAGGAAATAAGGATCAAAACCTCCTGCATCCCCCCCCCCCCCCCATAACAGTTTTATAGTCTAGGAAATAAAGGATCAAACCTCCTGGCATCCCCCCCCCCCCCCCTCTTTTTTCTATTCCTTGAGAAGGGAGGAAAATGTAAGGATTTAACCAGCAGCTTAAAAATGACTTGAGGCATTGATTTGTGGACTTAAATTTCCTAAAATTTTAATATTATTGGCATGGTTTAAACAATCGGCAGTCGCAGCTGGTATCAAAATCACGTTATAATTGGCGTTAGGATGCAGCAGGCCAATGTGCAACAGTCACGACCAGCACTATACAATTTTTTTTAGAAAAAACTTCACAATGGTACAAGTGAAACCCCCCCCCCCCCCCCTCTTTTTTCTATTCCTTGAGAAGGGAGGAAAATGTAAGGATTAACCAGCTAAAATGACTTGAGCATTGATTTGTGACTTAAATTTCCTAATTTTAATATTTATTGGCATGGTTTACAATCGCAGTCGCAGCTGGTATCAAAATCACGTTATAATTGCGTTAGGATGCAGCAGCCAATGTGCAACAGTCACGACCAGCACTATAGCAATTTTTTAGAAAACTTCACAATGGTACAAGTGAAATACAAAGTAATTATCTATTAAAATCTTGTAATTGACTTTAAGTTTTAACTTGAAATCTTGTTTTTGTTCTAATTTTTTTTTTTTTTACAATTTTCATAATCAAAATCTTATATTATTAAGCTCAAAAAAAAAAAAAATAAAAGTTATTTAATTTAGAATTTCAGATTCTGTAAAAAGCCAAAAAACTTTAACTTGCATGCTGCTATGAAAAAAAAAGAGAGAGAGAGGGAAGGAGAGAGAAGAAGAAAGAAAAACACAAACCAAAGAATAAAAGTACACCATTTGAATATACTAACATGAGGCAAAGGCGTTCAAGACTATAAAACCCAAAAGTCTCCTATTTACCCATTCATATCATTACTCAAAATGGCAAAAGCTAAGTAAACTCCATTGTTCCAGACCAAGACCAACCGCCACAGCCAGCTTCTCTTCTCCAAATTTTTCTTTTCTTCTCTTTTCCATATCTCAATTCAAGTGTTCCTTGTGGATTTCCAAACCCAAATCTGAATTTTCTGTATGATTCCATCAAATTTTTTTGTGAAGTAAAGATCAAACTACACTCTCTATCAGCTGGGTAGTTCAAGAGTCTGAAAGTTTGAAGTTTTGGGAGGAAAAAGCAATAATTTGGGAAGATATAGAATGAAAAGAGTTGAATTTCCATTACGTTGGGTTAGCCTTGAATCGTCAGTACCGGTATAAATGTAGCGGCAACAGACAATTCAATATTGTTGTCAAATTCTGGGTATTGACAAGGAAAATATCATATGTTACCCTTCAAAACCATTATGAACCGGCTGATACATTACGATATTCAAAACCTTTTTATTGGTTATTAACCCATTTAATTTTATGGTCATTGTTCTCAGTTTCACAAATTGGTTCAATGCATTATCATAAAATGAAAGGAAAAGAAAAACATTCAGGTTTTGCGCCCCGATTGTGGTAGCTAATTGTTAGTGAAGCTACAGGTAAAAGAAAAGGATAAATAGAAATAAGAAAAAATAAAGATAATATACAACATAAGCTTTAGCACTTCATTTGCATCATATCAGCAAATACCTGGACCCAGTCAACTGTTCTGCTTCAAACTGGTTAGGGGTTAACATTGAAGCCACTGGAACAACCTGAAAAATATGGAGTGTCAACAGAATGTCTTACCATGAAATAAAGTCTAATTTAAATGGTTATTTTTTCAATCAAGAAGTAATTAAATAAATCAAACTGTTATGTAGATCAAAACAATCACAATTATATGATCAAGGTGTTTCATCCAAACAATCAATCCAATCCAAATACCAAATATGCAGCTTTCATATTTTCAGTGCCGAAGTTAAGCCTCATTAAGAGTCAGATTACATTTCCCAAAGAGCTAAAAGATTGAATTAAAATCTACATAAGATAAACATAGATATCCAAAATCTAACAATTGGATGACTCACCTTCTCACGATATACTGCTACAAGCTCTGGTGGAACATAGAGCTTTCCTTCATCACCCATTACTGGATCACAAACTAGACAAGAGAAGCCAAATGTGCATAAATAGACATCTTTTGACTTTGCTTTGGATAGACAAGAGAAAGAGGCACATCTGTATGTAGCAATCTTTGTTCAAAGACACTTCACAGGTATATTATATATAAATAACAATGTTATCTCATGCTTATGGCACTAATAGCACTACAGATATTAGCTTTGACTCCTCAAAGGAGACTGGAGAACTGATCTCCTGGAAACTTAATAATAGAAGAATGCTCATCAGGCACAACTCTAACAGTTGAAATCTAAAGTGTGACTTTAATAAAGATCCATCAGTTTAAATAAAGCATTCTTCCATATGTATGTAGAAACAAAGTTGCTTTCAACTGGTTCACTGAATTTTACCATAAACATCAAGAAATTTGAAAAATAAATAAAAAAATTAAGAGCACCCACCTTGCTTGTTTCATAATATTATACAAAAAACTAAATAATCAATTTTATCCAGCCCATCATCTTTTGATCCTTTAACTATTCTTCAAGTCCTCAAGACACCGTCAAATGTCAAGTCTTAACAAAAAAGTAGCAATAGTAACGACATGAATTTCTCATAAATGGCAACACCGTAACTAGTTATGTTTATTTTATCAGTTTCAATTTTCACTTCCATTTATGTGCACTCATAATCTGGCATCACATGAGGGAGAAAAGAAAATCATTGACAATAAAAGGGGCTAGCTGTCCATCAATTGATGCAATAAAAGAAATAAGAAAAAAATTAGTACAGTCATAAGTGCATTCAGACATGGAAATGAAAAAGAACTAATCCAAACTCATTTTTCCCCTAGGAGCAAGATAGAAGCAAAAACTTGGGTTAATTTCACTCGAAGGACCTCAACTATATGGTAATCACTTAATGGGTACCAACTTCAATTTGTAATTTAAACATACATAATCTTATATTTTTATAACAGTAAATGCATTTTGACGCAATTCAATTTTCCGTTGGCCAGAATGCCACGTTGGTATCTATTAAGTGATCACCCATATAATTCAGGCCATTCCGGTGAAATTAATCTCAAAAACTTCAATAGTTGACTTACCATATGTCAATTTCGGATTTATGGTGCGAAGCTTATGGACAACTTCCAATATAGTGTGCAAAAATGAAACTGAACCAATATAACCTGGAAAATACAATGATAAGAACTAAGTCATATTGAATGGAACAAGAAATTTTCCAAAAGCACAGTACAGGAAAACATCAACTGCCAAGGAAAGCCATATTGCTGGAAAGCAAATGCAAAATATTCATCAAAATTTCTGAGACAACCCACCCCAAATCCTCACTGAGATCAACTTGAAGTAATTGCTAATTCACCAAAAGTGAATAACTAAAAAATTGAGAAAATCTTTCTTTTAGTGGACTTGATAATAATAGTTATATGTCAAAGGAATCTCATTCTACTTTTATAAATAACAACTTTTTCTAGATAAGCCAAGTCTTCTCTTTCCCCTTTTCTTCTCTATTTCACTCGCTATGCTGCTTCTGCTGCTACTGCTACAGAACTACGAGCATTATTCACAGGCACCAAACAGCCTCTAAGTTTTTTTTATCCTCACTGTAGCAAGCTCTAATTCAATTTCCTAACCTTAAACTATCATTCTTTCTTAGATCAAAACTCAAAAATTTACTTTAGATTTGCCAATGATAAAAACATTTATAGGCTACCTCCCTACTATATCATGTAGGCAAACAGAAAAGATGCTTGAGAGAAAAGACATAAGAGAAGCAAGTCAAATGGAAGACAAACTACGGAAAGAGGTCTATTGAGTTTGAGCTTTGGAAGGCTGATGGAGAGAGAGGAAAGAGGAAAAAAAAATACAGCATTAGAGCATGGTGGAACAGAAAGCAGACTTTCAATAATATCATTTAAAGAAAATTAAAAAAAAAAAAAAAAAAAATTAGAGCAAATGGTGGAAGCAGAAAGCAGAACTTTCAATAATATCATTAAAGAAAATTTAAAAAAAAAAAAAAAAAAAAGAAACTCACAATTCTTTCATTTGTAATGTAATATAATTCTTTTTTTATATTTCTAAAATTTTGTTTCAACCGCCCAAAATTAAAAAAAAAAAAAAAAAAAAGAACTCCAATTCTTTTCATTTGTAATGTAATATATTCTTTTTTTATATTTCTAAATTTTGTTTCAACCGCCCATTGGGAGAGACATGAAACATGGCACAGCACTAAAGAGAGTTCCTAATAGATTAAGAAAGAATACAGCACTGGATGTAATTACCTGTTAACAAATGAGTATAGTAAAGTAATTCATTTGCTTCAAGGCCTTCTATTAGATCCCATAGCTGTTGACCATTTAAAACTTGGCCTTTAAAGGATGGATATCCTGCCCAATTTACAGTGTTATCAATCATAAACTGACCAATCTTTTTGACAGGAAATCATGCCTGAACATATACAGATTGATAGATGACATCGCACCGCATATCAGGCCTCAGAGTTCTGAGACTGTTTGAGTGAAGTAGAATAAGCTGCTTGCCTGTATGATTTGAGAATTGTACAGAATTGATCGGATCAACATCATAGCCCAGAAGTTGAAGGGGAAAGACAGCTGATTTATTGCCAACATATCCCTGAAAGAGAAAATAGATAGTATTGAAAACCTAGAATTCATATCAATGGAGCTAATTGAGACAACTTTCATACTTTGCAAACAGAATTCTCTGACTTTCAATGGACAAGCAATGACATGCAAAATATGAGACGAATCTGCTCCAATGAAAAAATTAAAAATCTTGTTTAAAAATTAATTTAATCACGCTATATAATGTTAGTGAAGGAAATGCTTTTTTTTAATTTTTTAATGGATAGTTGCTAAGGAGCTCATTGTTTCGCATTCTAGGATTGCATTTTTTTTCTCATAAAGAAAGAATTTTCAACAAAATTGAATTAGATGAACCAATCATGCATTTCAAAAATACAAGGTTTTATATTGTGAAATCAATATTTAAATTGGGATTAGGTTAGTTATGGACATTCTAAAATGAAGCTTGAAGTCTAATTTCAGTTACTTTTCACAGCATCTCCAGCCAACAAAAAGGATTTAAGCAACTTGACCCAAATTTCATTGTTTCAAAAAAATTTTAAAAAAAAATATCACTTATGCTCTTTTGCTTATTTATTTTTGTCTTTGATAAAAGAAGAATTCAATGGAGAGTATGTGAATAACTAGCTACAAACAAGAGGATATTGTATCCTCCACATATTTTCCATCTTAAGAATTTAAACAAAAATTTTCTTGGTATTGATTCGGCTAACAATCATTTGACCATAATTCTAATCCAAAAAGAAAAACCAAAATTTGAAGTTGGAAAATGTTTTGAAACCAAAACCGACCTAACCATTTCAGAACCAAGATCTGGGATATGGATTGGCGTAACTTGGTCAGTTTGATCACATTTGAAAAGCTATTTACCATGATATAGCATCTGTTATTTGCACGCGCCTGCTTAGATAAACAGCAGCATAGCCCAGACAAATGGTTCAGATGGCAGCTGTTAATATATAACCCTCAAAGGTAATATTACCTGGTCCACGAGATTGGCTCCACTTCATGACATATCTAGATCAACATGGACTTTTGAACTGATATAGGATGCTAGCAGGACTGATTATTCAAGCAAGATTCATGTAATTATAAATAAGCAAAAGAATACTACCCAAAACCTTTATGGGAGGGAGAACACACATAGAAATGCTCAAAACCCTCACACCGAGATTGCCTTTTTCCACTCTCTAATGGTATTCACTTTCACAGAGTGCATATCCGGATCAGAACGCACATTTTCCTTTTTGTTTTGGAACACACATCAAATATCCAAAGGGATGATTTGAAACCACTCACAATGTCAAGCCATGTAGGAGGGGCAGAGATATTTTCTTTTCTTAATATACATTCTATTCAGTTTATAATATTGTAATCATTTGGTCGGCATTTCTCAAAAAACCCACCATTTTGTTCACGTAGGAGCAAGCACGCAAAATGGTGCGTCCATCCGTGCAGCGAATGCAGCCACAACGGCAAACCAGACAAAAATTATATCACAGCAGAAAGGAAAATAAGCAAAATTATGGATATCACATCCATATCTAGTCATTGATTGTGATATAGTTCTTTATGTCTTCTTCCAAAGGATTTACCCAATTTTGTAGTTTTTATCATCATCCAATACTGGGAAAATATGAAACAAGTGCATCAAATGGAAGCGGTAGCAAATTAGAAAATTAACAATTACAATTAAGACAATTGTGAATTATAATACTAACTTCAAGCCCTTTTATCTTTTCCTTTTGTTTCATTCTCAATGTCCCTATCTCATTTTTCTGTGAAACTGCAACTAACATTAAAACTTCCCATCATAACTCATTAAAAGAAAGGCTCATTACTCGCTTTCATTAACCGCTCACAATAAATGACACCAAATTACATCCACAGCTACCTCATAATTGTTCACAATTTATTAAAATAAATCACAGAAAACATGTAAGATACACCAACAAGCAATACATTTGATTTCATCTGATTCTAAAGAAACTTCCAAATAAAACTAACTAAACTAAAATTCAACGTTAATATTTCACATAAAAAAGGTCAACTTTCAGTTCATTTTTCTCTAAAGGTCAACTTTCAGTTCATTTTTCTCTACAACCAAAGAAAAACGGAAAACCAAAGCTAGAATTTGATAAAGATCAAATACCTGAACTGTATGCGATTGAATACTGAGAACCCGACCAGTCTCCGAAGGAAGAGCAAGCGACAAGATCGGAGGCGCCATTTCTGATTTTCTCGAGCTTATCGACCTTCAAATTCCAAGAATAATCAAACAAAAAACTTCAAATCTATAAAAAAAAAAAATCAAAAGAGCAAAAAAGAACTGCTCCATAAATAGTTTTACCTGGAAATGTGAGTTTCGAAGGCAACACGGAACACAGGACGGCCAATAAACAAAGACCTTCACATACAACAAACAAGAACCAAAAGAGGAAAAACCAAAGATGAGTCCATTAATCGAGTGGCAGCTATTTATACATGAAATTTACAGCGTCATTGACCTTACATGAAATTACGATTATAGAACTGAAGATCGTTGGGATTAAGCGACTAGAGGCTGTAATATTTGAGAAAAGGGGAGGAGAATATCGAGAATTTGATGCATAAGTGGAGCCACGCAATCTTTGTGGTTTGGGAAATCAAAATGAATATTTGCGATGTGAAAGTGAAATTGATTTTTGCTTTCCTTTTAATCCCTCATCGAATGAGAACAAAAAAGGCAATAAACAGTGAACACTGAAGCTGAAGTGAAATTTTTGAGCTGCTAGGCAAAATCACCAGTTTTTATCAGCCGTCAGTGTTTTAGCATTTGTAGTCGTTTTTGGAGATATAAAAAATCTGACCAAATCGATACATTTTCAGCTTGTTCAAAGGGATTTTGGCTTTGTCAGGTTGGTCAATTTGAATCAAAGTTATTGGTCGTTTGACTCGATTTTACAGAAACTAATCAATTGAGTTTAAAATCGATCCAATTTGATAAAGCCGATCAAAACATATCAAATCGATTGGTTCAGTTCGAATCGATTTGATTCATATGCAATCTCAGTTTGCTTCAGTTTTAGTCAGCAAAATTTGATTTTTATATTTTTTAACCTTTATTGGGTTTGGTTTGAACCGATCTATTTGCTCACGCCTGGAGTTTCTCAAACTCTAAAAGACTAGTATAAACAATACATGGTAGAACATTACATTACACAGAATAACGGTAGTCACATTTTTCTTTTGAAAATGGAGGTCAGTGTCACGACCCGTTTCCGTGGGCCGGACCGGCACTAGGGCCCAGGTAAGCATAAGGCCCCCGAGGCCCGTAGTTAGCCTAATTACTCAACTATACATTCCATACGAGGCCCCGTAGTTAGCCTAATTACTCAACTAATACATTCCATAACCATACATTCCATACCATTTAATAGGAACAGTAAGCCCATACAAGTTAAGATATAAATGTAAATATACAATCCGGCCCAATTTTAATTATCTCCAATAAAATTTAGTTTGGGCCTAGTCATTATCAATCACGTTCATAATATGGGCATACTGATTTTCCTGTGTCTAATAATACAATCAACCGTTTATAAAACAACGCATACGGCAAGGCCCAATTGGAAATACACAACCCTATAACTCTATAACTGCGGAGTCCAAAAATAATCTGATAACAGAATAATTTATACATCCAAAATTAAATAACATGAATATAAAGTTTACATTTGTAACTCTGCAGAGAAGATTGCAGAGCTTCAGCCGAATCAGCTGCTTCCTAGTACCTGGAAGGTTTGTTGGGGAGGGGTGAGTTTTGCAACTCAGTGAATAATAATAAATAATACACACCACATACAGTCAAGCAAAATGCACCATAATATACTGAATGAACACACAACAGTCAATCATATGACATTACATCAGCACCCACAAACAATATCACCTTCAAATAATCACATCACGTGGAAATTAGTGGAAATTAGTCAGTGGAGTCACCGAACCCCCGATGAGCCTCTCCACATGGCTCATCCTCTACGTGTGCACCAGGGAGCCGATCCCCATACTGGCCGACCGGTCTAATCCTCACTTGACCAGCCCTCCTCAAATTGTTTTTCCATTCTCTCTTTTTTTCCATACCAACAGAGGCACCCGGTCGTCTCCATCAAATCTAGATCATCAGTGCGCTCACAACAGGAGGCCACCCTGCGGGCTGCGATCAAATCTAGATTATCCGGTGCGCGCCAATAAAGAAGCGCAACCTGTGGTTACAGTAAACCGGTAACGGTAGGTGCACACGGGGGCGCCGATCTCCCATTTACCCGGGCTAACAGAAACAGAATCAAGGATCCATAATAAACAGAAATCAGAATATAACAGATCAGAAATCAGGATCCGTATAACAGAAACAAGTCTCACAAAAACCCAATGGTGACCCACTTCATCCCATTCCATCACAAACAAAGGCAGGCAGTATATGCACAGCAACAAGTAATCAACAATTCTTTCAACGTATTACACCAATTTCATCAAATGCACAATTATAATATATAAGTATAATTATAATGATCGTAACATAATATATATATGATAAAATACTTATAATATGTTGTAAATATGTAAATGAAAATATAATGTTTATAAGTAATTGTTATGCAAATGCAGTGTTGATGTGCATTATTCATTATTACTCACAGTGATGGAGAGCGAGGTTCTAGCTTTGATTCTGTCTTGGAGGAGCACTAGATGGACCCGGGCGATCTAAGAAATTACAAGAACGACACAAAAAGAATAATTTTATCAGACAAAATATAATATTTCTTTACCCTTCTAATATTTTTATTTTATATTCTAAATTTTTCTACGTAATTTAATCTCGATATTTAATTTCTTTTTTGTAATAAATTTTTTTATTTCTCTAACTTTATTTCATTTATTTTCTTTTGAAATCTATTTTATTTCCTACTGAAATCTATTTTAATTTCTATCGAAATTTATTTTATTTTTCTACCGAAAGTTATTTTGTTTTCTACCGAAATTATTTTATTTTCTGCCGAAATTTCGGCAGCATCTCCCCTAAAAATTGAACTATCTACCTGTTAAAATATCAACAATATACCAATAATTTCAAACCACACAGCCCATCCATCGGGCAATCATTCAATTCAATTTTTTCCCATCCTCCATCCTCAAACTCTTATTTCTCATTTCATTGTCTTAAATTCCATAAATTTTATTATTACCAAAATTTCCTAATAAATTATTTAATACTGAATTTAATTTTAGCTAACTATTATTTTTATTAATCAATAGTTACTTCACATTAATTAATCAATAACTATTTTGAATTAATTTTATCTAACGAAATTTTAACTAACTATAATCAATAACTATTTTGAATTCATTTTAACTAACTAAATAACTAAAATTACTAACTAAATATTTTATTAATCAATAAATTAATACTATTTAAATAAATTTCACCACATAATATTAATTAACTACGCAAAATAACTAAATTTAAATGAACTAAATTAATTTTTACCCCAAGTTTATTAATTTCTGTCGCAAATTGTAGATTGCAAGCAACATGGCGGATCTGACTGGGCAGTGGCAGAGAATGAGGCGGCGCGATGAAGCTTGACAGACCCGTTCCTGGTGGTCGGAGGCGCGCTGGAGCGACGGCAGGGCAGTGGCGCGATAGATCGACTGTGGTGCTGCTCCTGTCAACTGTGCTAGCCTGAACGGGAACTGAGGAACGGTGATGGCGGAGCTACTGCGACGGCGAGCGGCAGCGAGGTGGCGCGATTGACCCGGTGCCTCTGCTGCTGCTCTGTTTCTCGCCAGAAACGCAGACGCAGGTGAAGAGAAAGGAGAAGGAAAGAAAGAAAAGAAGAGAGAGAAGGAGGAAGAGAAGAAGAGAAGAAGAGGAGGTGGCAGTGGTGGCGCTGCTAGAGGTGTTGCAGAAATGGTGAGGGGAGGGTGAAGTTTGCGCTGGATATAGAGGGGAGAGGCTTCTAGAAGTGGTTTGGGCTGATTCGATTTGATTTCGGATTTCGATTCGATTCGGCCCAAATCTTGGTTTTTGTTTGATTTTTCAATTTCAATTGGTTTTCGATTCGGTTTATCACTGTACAAAATATTAATTCACGTTTAAATATTTAAAATTCACGTTTAAATATTTAAATACATTTTCCACGCTGTCAGTTTATTAAATTTAAACGAAAAATCTTTGAAAATAAAAATTCTGGTTATTTCAGTCAGATATATTAAAATATCTCAAATGTTGCAAGTTTTTGCAATTTCATCCTCTTTTGATATTTCTGTCAATTTTAAATTCAATTTCGACTAATAGCGCCTTTGATTATAATAAATGATGAAATTACAAATAAAAAATATTTTAAACATTTTTTAATCATCTTGTGCCAAGATAAAAATGTAAAAGTAAAAATTGCAAAAAAAAAAAAAATCATTAGCTATCAAATTAAAATTGCACAGATCAATTTAATTTTTGAAATAAAAATGTGTTAAATAATAATTTAATAACATCGATTTTTGTTATTTACCAAAAAAGTTCCAAAATATAGCACAAAAATTAAATTAATAAAATTAAAAATTTCAACAACATTTTTTTTTTTTTGAGAGGAAAAATATTAGTTTTAAAACTTAAAGAGAAGAGTCCAACAACACCAAAGGGTGAATAGAGGGAGGAACTTCCTCTATCCAGAAACCTTTCCTAATTATTGTAATGTTATCTATAATTTAAAACGTATGTTGTTTTTATATTATCTATATTTTAAGAATGAAGTAATCCTGATTATTGTAATATTTGCATTGATAATATAGTCAAATTATTATTTATTTAATAAAAAAATAAATTCTTAATTATTTTAATTGCACATATCTTAAATATCATATTTTTAAATCTGTGAATTTACTGCCTCCTATATGTGAATATAATTTGATATTAAAAGGACATTAAAAATTTATTTTTATTATTAATTTTTTAATTTATTAATAAAAAAATACAGAGCCAGCTGAAAAATATAAAAGTTAAAGAGCCTTATATTAGAATTCAGAGTTATAATCATATTGTAATATCATCAAACCAAATTAAAAATAAAATGGTGCTTATTTTGATAATTTTCCTCACTTTCTTTTTTCGAATAAGGAAATTCTTTTTCCTCAATATTTTCCTCACATATTATCTTTTCTTCAAAAATCTCCATTTCCAAACAAAGTCCAAGAAAATTAAGAATTTCAATAAAAATATATATATAAAATGTTTAAGAGGGTATTTGGTTTATATAATCAAATCTATTTTTAAGTAAATAAAATAAAAAAGTAATAGGAAAATTGACTTAAAAATTAAAATCACTACTTAAAATAAATTAGAAATTGTAAGTAAAATACTGTTAATTTTACCTATTTTTTTGAACTTGTTATCACTAATGCCCATCAATATATTTGGTTTGGAACAATCTTATTGAGCCGCACTTAGTTTGGACTTGATCCTTAAAAAACCCAGTTCATGTCGGGCCGAACCTAGACATGAGGAACAAAATAAAGTCCGCCGTTGTATTGGACAGGTCTGAATTATATCGAGTTCGGGCCAAATTGGAAAAAAAAAAAAAAAAAAAAAAAAAAAAAGGTCGGCAGGACTCAGGTACTTCTGGAACCCGGCGGCCGCGGTAGGCGGTGATATTTTTAATTCTGATTAAGAAGAATGTTTAATAGGTACAGGTAGCCGTACATTTCTTCATCCTTTGACCATTACCTAATCGATGGACTTTAGCGTGCAGTTTTTCAGAGGTAAGATACAAAGTCTTGCTTTCTCTGCTGGAAAACGCTTAGTACAACAGCAGCAGATGACCTAACATTTGATAGCTACTTCAAATATGGATATTGGATTCAGAGCCCATTTTTATTACACGATAATTTTTTCCATTTTATAGAATTTCTAATGAAAAAAAAAAAAAAAAAAAAAATTTCTAAATGAAAAAAACAAAAAACAGAAAACAAAGGAAGTTATGTTCAAAAAAAAAAAAAAAAAAAAGAAGTTCATGTTCATGAGTTTACTTGATTGATTTTTTGATTTGTCAATCATTTTGTTTTTTTGTTTTTAAAAAAAAGTGAGCTTGTCCATATTCAAGAACGATAATTATCCATAACATTTTACGTTTTCATTAACGTTGTTTTACATCTCAATGTATATAATTATCAAAATGTTATCTTCTCTGTTAGATTTTTATTTTTTACCACCATTAAATTATTAATTTTATCCATTATTTTCGTTACGAAATATTACAGATGCATCCTATCCATTTATCTGAAATTATGGTAAGTAAGATGATAATATTAGTGGCGATGGCTCCACGGTTGAAACAAGTTGGACATCACCATCACCATCATATCTAGTATGACCATATAGGCTATTTGTATTGGTTTTGTACATTTCAGAGGTAAAACAAAACAGATATCAGCATCCAATTTAATGCCATCATGTGGTGCGATTGACCACAATCATTTTCGATTGGGAGAGCTCATCTATGAAAGATTCATCACATGCTATCTATATATGCACCCTTAAGATATTTATTAACCAATCTCCCATGTAATGCAATTTAGGGTTTTTATAAGAGATTGAGTAGAGATGACAATGGAGTGGTTTCCTTATTCTCTAAATGAGGTGGAATCAGGAGTGCAGCTCCACTCTATGATCCCGTAGGATAGGAATTCCCGTTTTATTCCTATAAGATTGTAATATTTATTTTATGCGTATTTATCAAATTTATTATATATATATATATATGTATGTATTATCTCTTATTAGGGGAGTGAAAACATAAATTTACAAATTATTATTCAAAAAAAAGTCTATCACATTCTTAATCATATATTTATAACAACTTGCATTATAAGTATGGTTCAAATTATACGTACTCATGCGACTTAAATAAGATTCAAGTTCGAAGCATTTTATTTCCTAACATTCAAAAGAATATGATAATTAAATCATCAAACATAAAATGAAATAAACATATATAAATTTTTTAATTAATTTCATAGTTTATAAATATTTTTATAAAATAATTTTTAAAAACACCATATTAAAGTTTGAATTTTCATCACTTACCCTAAAATTTCAAATGACTACTCATCATTAAATTAATTGTGCTCTAGCTAAAATGGACTCATTAAGGTCACATACTGCATACTTGAGAGGATAATTAGCACACAAGAGCGAAAAAAGAGAAAATGGGGAAATTTAAAGAATTTCATTTCACTTGCAACTAGTACCAAAGATAACAGCAAATGACAATTATAAATGGAAGAGTTTTACAGAGACTTTGAGGTTGAAGTGGGTGTGCACGTGCATACATGTGTGTGAATATTTGGAAGCTCGCATATGCACATATATATGCACACGTGCCCACATGCATGTTTGATTTGTTAAATGAATAGAAAGAGTAATATTAATTAATTAGTCTAAGTATATATTGAGAACATGAAAAAGGAATAGAGGGTAAAATGTGATAGCATGTGGATTCATAAAAACCTAGTCAACTGCATTACTCCTTCAATTCCTTGCCCCAAGAAATTTCTACAGTCCCTACTCATTCTGCCATGCCTAGCCATAACATTTGTGTCCGTGTAAGAGTAATAACTCATAAAATGGAAAATTTATTATTTCTGCGATATATATATATATATATATATATTCTTTTTACTACTAAGAATGTTCTCGCTCTCCCCGTCTAAAAAGACTAATCTTTTTCGAGCAAGAAATAATTACATTTAAAATATTTTCTAAAATATTCAATTATGTGAGTATCAACACCCGATTTAATATATTTAAACCCTACATTAAATTATCTTAATTAATATTTAGATATTCTGCGTTGCTTTACCCATTTAATAATATCTGATACTTAAATTATTAATAAGAAAATCTTTCCTTAAATTATACTAAATTACATAAAGTTGAGGATATGCAACTTCATTTCCTAACTATAATTGACTAAACACAACACATGCTAACATCAACAAATTAAAGGTACATTTTTCTGTCAAAAATGTCTGAAATAATTCATTTATACATCTACAATATATGGTATCCAACTCTATGCTTTCTAATCATCCTTATAGAAGGACCACATAGAATAACCAACCACAACATATATAATAAACCAAACAAACCCATTTTATTATTAATTAAGTTTAAGATTGCTTGTCTTCAGATTTACGAAATTAAGAATTTCATTTTGAAAATTTATAGTTTAAATGGGAGTATAAACAAAAAAATCAAATTAACAAACCCATAAAAGAAAATCCAAAAAGAAGAAAAGAGAAAGGTGATAATAGAGAGATAGAGGCATTACTGCACAAGGGATAGGTGTCCATAAAATGTGGAAGGGAAAATGGACTTGTACCTGGTTTTGTTAAGAGGGTACACAGTGCCTCGCTGTCTAGCATGTGAAGGGGTTGTGGCTTTCACCTCTCTCTCTTACATGCATACACCCACTATAACCCACCCAACTGGCAATTTTTGATACATTCTCATAGATAGCCCGAATGAGGAGAGTGAGGACAAAATTAGTCTAGGATTCTACTCTGATTCTCTTGCTCTTTTCCACATCTCTCTCCACTCTTCTTTCTTTTTAACCATTCTTTTTTATAACACCATATATCTGTTAATATTACTAGCTGCAATAACTTCATTCTTGTAAGTGTTCTTTCTTCAAGAAAAGAGAAGGAAAGTATGAATGCTTTCGCTCAGGAATGTAGTAGCGGGTGTGAGTCTGGTTGGACTCTTTACTTAGAACAATCTTTTCTTGGTAATAACAAGAAGCAAAGGAATAATAATTCTACGCGTTCTTGTGAAAATTATGTTAAAGATGAAGAAATTATGATGAGAGAACATAACGATCGTGATGATAATCATGATGATGAGGAGGAGGAGGATTTGTCGATGGTCTCTGATGCCTCGTCAGGACCTCCTCCTCATCAGAATGTTCATGAAGAAGAAAGTTATAGTTTCAATTATTATGACAATGGCGGCTTTTATCCTGCATTTAATGATACTACATTGATCAATAATGGTGGTATTAAAAGACAAAGTGAGCATAGACGCCGCGGCGGAGATAAGGAGCAAGAAATAGTTCCTGCTAATTTTCTTGATGATACTGCTAGTTCTCCGGCTATCAACTGGTCCAAGGTTAAATTTACTATATAAACATATAATTCTATTAATTTACTTTGGATTTATTTATTTTTTTCATTACATGGTAGTATTCGAAGCTTATTTTTATGGGTTTTTTTTGACGATTTTCATGGCAGAATCAAGCTTCAATGCAGAGTACATTGGATTATTCACAAGCTGCAGCTGGTTTTTCAGCTACTCATTTTGAGGTTCTTTATATTAGCCTAATTAAATTAATGAATTTTTCCATTATATATTAAAATTTTTAGCTTGGTTTACTTGATATTGTTCTAAGTCTTTCACCATTTTTGCAGGGGATATCTGCATATCAAGACCACTTTGGTTATATACAGCCTTCTTCTCTATCTGGAAACCAGCTCCAAAATAACCAGTTAAGCAAGCAGTTTGTTTTTTTTTTTTTTTTTTTTTTTTAAGGAAACCAGCTCCAAAAATAAACCAGATTAAGCAAGGCAGGTTTGTTTTTTTTTTTTTTTTTCTTTTTTTTTTTTTTTTAATTTTTATTTTAAATTTAATTAAATGTTCCACCCGCTTGATTTAATTAATTAATTAACTAATATTGTTTTCCCATTTCTTTCTTGCTTCAGTAGTTTTAAGTGGGAAGATTTTTTTTTTTTTTTTTTTTTTTTTTAAATTTTTATTAATTAATTAAATGTTCCACGTTGATTAATTAATTAATTAACTAATATTGTTTCCATTCTTTCTTCTTCAGATGGTTTTAAGGGGAAGATAATGAGAGATGAGCAATTAAGTTATTTGCATCCAAATTGCTGCCATTTTAGCACATTGAAGTTGCTTCAAAAGAAATGGTGCTGTCAAAGTAACAAGAAAATGGATCTTCATTATATAGATCTTGTTCTTTCTTTCTTTCATTTTTTTTTTCTTTTTCTAGTTTTTTTCTTTACTGTCAATGCTATGAGAAGCAACCTGAGAAAAGAAGTTGGAAATAAATTTCTTTGTTCTTCAAAATTTAATTCTCTTGTTAATGAACAGTGGGTACAATGGGGGCAATGTCTTTTTTGCAGCCTCTGTGCAGGTTCTGCTCAGTGTTTGTTTCTTCTTCTTCTTCTTTTTTTGATGGAGCCCCATGCTTTCTTTTATATGGCCACATACAATTACATAAGTACTCAAATATATAAAAAAAAACAAAAAAACAAATAAATAAATGCATACAATAATAAACATTAAATTGAATTGAAGGATAACCCATTTATATAAAGGTACATTTTTGTTTCTCTGCTTTGTATATTTATAGTAAACTTTTTGTGTGAAAGGTTTAGAAATTTGCTTTAGGACATGGGTGCTTTATGATATGAAGTGAAACATTGTGGTCCATTCTTTGTTTCCCAACTCTTCCTATTATTATTTTTTACTTTTTAGCAATCCTTCTCATTTTGTGTTGTGTTTACAGTTGCGTTTTACGACAACGTTTCAGTAACTTTTTATTTGAATTAATTTTTAAAAGTTAAGATAATATTTTATAAAAAAATCAATCAATATAATGTTTAACTTTTAACACTTTATAAAAAGTTATTCGAACAGCTAACTATTAAACAATACTATTAAAATAATTAATAGCTATTAAAACAATTAATTTTAGCGCATAGATTCTACAACTCAAAAACCATTTACATATCATGTTGGTTATATTAATTATTTTTTTATTAATTTCTCTCCAATTGTATTCAATTCATATTTTCTTTTAGTACGGGAGAGAAAAGAAATTGCATATTTTATATTAGAACATTGATTTTTTACATTATTAAATTAATAATATAACAAAGAAGTCAGAAATTTAATTAGAAATCTTGAAATACGATGACCTTTAAATTTATAATTCTGTAAATTTTAAAATGACTTAATAAGTCAATTTTTTTTTATTTTAATTAATTAAACATGATTAAAAAATCAATTCAATGAATCGGAGGCTGGAACATCTGCCCAAATCAATGCGAAATTGATCAATTTAGTTCATCGTCGGATCTGATTTTGAAAACATTGAAAATTTGTGGATTTTCAGTACCCATGCCATCAACACATGGAAAATGATCAGTTGATAATGAAGATTACTAATTAATCACCCAAAAAAGTCTCAAACTTGCCAACTACTTCAAATTTCAATGAGTAATTCAAGAATTGAGACAGACCAACTGTCCAATTCCAGCCAGAAAGAAGTCAAGAAATTAACCAAAACCTAATATTTTAGGAAGAAAAAATGGCCATCATTGACTGAATCATGCATGTCATCTATTAATTAATAACTCAAAGAAATAGTAATTATATTAAAACTTCTTATTTATTTATTTATTATTTGATAATTCATGATTTTTTTAATCCATAACTCTAGTACTTTTCAACAAAACAAGACAAAAAAAAGTACCACATACACACCTAACTTTGGTTACCTATAGAACATGATATTATCCAAAATGGAGACCAAATAATCAAATCTGTTTAGGTAGGAATTTAAACAATTTTTCTTTCCCAAATCTAAAATAAATAATAAAAAAAGGAAGAAAAAGAAAGACCCAAATCTTGTTTTAATGGTTATTTGATTTTATTATTATTATTATTATTATATGGAAGAAAAGAAAGACCCAAATCTTTGTTAATGGTTATTTGGATTATTATTATTATTATTATGTACTATATAATATATATTATAATCTATATATATCTATATATTAATATATATAATATATATATAATATATATATATTTAATACACTAAACTCAAAACCTTGGCTTAATTAATGAACATGAAATGAGACAAGTGAATTGGGGGAAGTGCTTAATTATGGGTTATGGCCATATATTAATACACTAAACTCAAAACCTTGGCTTAATTTATATGAACATGGAAATGAGACAAAGATGATGGGAAGTGTAAATATGGGTTATGGGTATAGTGCAGAAAATAAAATAAAGTTAGGAAATTAAATAAAATGACAAAATTCAATGTTGGAATATTTCATATGGAACTTCTGGACCTTTTTCTTGAAGCTCAGGAGATCCTGCCTGAGATCTTCCTGACCCAAAGGGACATGCCTCATTTTGTTTATTATCTCATTTGGAAGGATCTTATTTAAAAAATAATTTTAATATTTTTTATATTCTTTGTAAAATTTTTGCACTGTCTGCTTTGCAGCTGTCATTGGACTTGGTGACATGCACAATTATATGTTTGATATTTATTTTAATTCAACAATTCTAAGGTCACATTATATAATTTGGACTCTATCAAAAAGCTTAATAAAATATATCATTAGAGAATTTAGGATGTCAAAGTTCTGACCTAAACCCACATGTTCCTTTTTTCATATCCCCAAATTATTCAATGCTTTGTAAAGTAGGGTGGGTACAATTTGGTGAAACCGATCCAACCGATTAAGAGTATATTCGGTAAAATTAGTTGTTTTTAGTAGTGTTTGAGGTTAGCTGTTTGACTAACTTTTCCTGAAATACTAAAGCTAAATGTTATATGAATTAACTTTTCATAAAACACTGTCTTAATATCTAAAAATCAGTTCAAATGTTATATTACCGAACAACTTTTTAAGCAGCATTTAGCGTTTTGTCTGGCTACTTAAAAAGTTGTTCCCAAACACAGCTTAAATCGAATTAATTTAATTTATTTTGATTTTTAACCTATTATATCTGATTTCAATTTTAAATATTTTTAGAAATCAAAGATATAAACAGGAAAAATAAATCAAATTAAATTAAATTAAATCAGATAATTCAATTTGATTCTTTTTAAAATGGGATTTATTAAATCTGAATCGAACCAATATCGGTTTTGGTGTAAGTTTTTGTAGTCACGTGAACGTCAATTAGTTAATTAAGCATAAAGTGTTAATCAAACGATTGAAAATTCTTGTACATTTATTTATGTACATGAAAGTACTTTTTTTTTTTTTTCTGGATAAATATGTACATAGAAGTACACAGACATTAGCCTACAACAAGTTGGCTGTAAGCAAATTTAGAATATTTTAAAAATTAAAAAATTGGATTCCTTCTTAAATATGATGATACCATTAAATATGCATATCCATATTAAAAGATGAAGCTTGTTATTGACAAGTTGTAACATAATATAATTAAAATGCTATTTTAAATTTATTTAATTATATTATATTTTACTATATATATTTTATCAAATTTATAATTCACTATTAAACTTGATAGACTCACAATATTTCCACTTGAAGATATAAAATATACTTAATTAAATGCTTGAAAAATAAGTTATTATTAATAAATGTCGTTGACCAATGACCATAGGTGACTAATTTATAATCTATTTCAGATGTTATTATCTCATTTTAGTTATGTGTATATTTTAGTTCTTAATTAATAAAAAAGTATTTCTAAATAATAATATAATTTTAACTTTTCCTATTTAATTTCATTGACTCCATAATTAATGTAAATTACTTATAATTAATATATATTTTTAGCTCTTTCTAATTAATTCCATTGAATCCCTATAAAAAAGTAGTATTCAATAATAATAATAATAATAATAATAATAAAAGCAAAAATATTTGGAAATAAAGCACAGTTTACATTTAATTGATGTCAATTAACTTCATAATTGTTTAAAATTTTGTCAAATTTTTTCTTTGTACAGTTGAATCCATATATCAAATTTATGTAAGTCTCTTCCCATTATTTATATATTTTTCATCTTGAATTGCAATAATTAGGTTTTTAAAAATTTTTTTCTATAAAAAAAAAAATTATTGATGATTTGAATATTAATGTGAAAAATTAGTTAGTTATTTATACTAAGAGGAGGTTAAATTAATCAAATTTAATTGTATTTTTAGATGCAATTTGACTAAATTATAAGATTAAGTCCAGAGTCACAACTTTTGGATTTACAGGTTTTATCAAAATATTATTTCGAGCTCAACATAGAGACACATGACTAAAAAAAATATTAATTATTTTTATATAGTGTTGTCACGACCCATTTTCGTGGGCCGGACCGGCACTAGGACCTGGGTGGGCTTAAGGCCCCCGAAGCCCGTAGTAAGCCTAACTTATTTCAATTCGACATTCTACAAATATTTATGGATTCGGGCCCATTAACTTATTATGCATATGCATTCAAAATACAGTTCATATATTTAAAATGGACTTTCATTATTTAATTACACAACCCCAACTGGAGTAATACATTGCGGAACTCTTACTCTTTGTCATTTTACATCGTTACTTTTCGTATCATTAACAGCTCTTCTACAATACGGTGTTCTCAACCTTCCACAAGGCTTTTCTTTCTTTTTATACTGGAGAAAAAAAAAAACAATAGTAGGCAGGGACTAAGGACCCACGTGAGCGCCTAAACTCAATAGTTAGGGTTAGATAACCCTGCTCACCCCACACAATCACCACAGATGCTAATAAATATTTTGTAGTCTAAGTACCGTTTTATTATCATGATCATGCCAGTTTTGTCACACAAATGGCAACTACAACAGCGAATCACAAGTAGTATCAATCACCTTCACTATAATCACATTCACGTGGAAATTAGTCAAGTGGCACCACCCTTGAAACCCCAACGAGCCGTCAGTACCTCACACATTTGGCTCGCGCCTTTCTCATACAATAGCTTGCAACCAGGGAGGCGATCCCCCATACCGGCACAACTGTCTTTATCCCTCACTGGACAGTCCCTTCTCATTGTTTTTCCATTTCTCTCTTTTCTTTTCCATACCAACAGGAGGCAACTCGAGGGTGGTCTCCATCCCATTCTAGCATCATCAAAGTGCTCACAACAGCGAGGCCACCCTGCGGGCTACAATTCAAATCTAGAATTATCAGTCTGGCAATGTTCCAAACAAACAATGAGGCCATCCTGTGGTTCTATATAATCCATATCTCAGGTGGTGCACACGGACTGGGGCGCCGATCTCCCATTTTCCCGGCCGACGATCACATTTCATACATATCATATTCAGGATCCTGTATCACAT